GTGGCCCCGTGGCCCAGCCACTCCCCACCCACACAGTCAGGCAGCCCAGCCCCGGAGCTGCAGCCACCCAAAGCGCTCACACAGGACTGGGGAGGATGGGGAGGGGAAACTGCAGTGCCCCAGCAACACTCTGTGGGCTGGGGAGAGATCAAAAAATGGTGCGGGCCCGTCTGATTGCTGCTTGGCGCGCGGCAAATTACAGCCGTGAGTTCAGAGATGCGTATGAGGCACCTAATGACAGTCTCCCCGCACGCCCAGCTGGCTCAACAACACCCAAGGGGAACAGACAGAACGCGGGGAAGGAATGGCAGAACGACGGACGCACCTTAGAGATGAAGATCCCCAGCTGCGAGGCTTTTCCTCCCCGGATGTTGAAGCCCAGCTGTGAGAGAAACCAGCAGCGAAATGCAGTCACCCTGCTTCGGTCCAGGACCCCTCCCTGCTGCCAACACATCTCGTCTGGACGGAGGGAAGGTGCTGGCACCGCAGTGTTCAGCCAGACAGCAGCAAGCCCCTGTCCCTCTCCGCTGACTTCTGTGGCCTTCGCTGCGAGGCTTTTCCTCCCCGGATGTTGAAGCCCAGCTGTGAGAGAAACCAGCAGCGAAATGCAGTCACCCTGCTTCGGTCCAGGACCCCTCCCTGCTGCCAACACATCTCGTCTGGACGGAGGGAAGGTGCTGGCACCGCAGTGTTCAGCCAGACAGCAGCAAGCCCCTGTCCCTCTCCGCTGACTTCTGTGGCCTTCTCACAGGATGCGCTGGGCTGGAAGGGACCTTTAAAGGCCACCCAGGCCAACGCCCTGCAGTGAGCAGGGACATCTTTAACTAGATCGGGTGGCTCAGAGCTTCATCGAGCCTGACCCTAAATGTCTCCAGGGATGGAGCCTCAACCACCACAGTGCCCACACTGTTCCAGTGTTTCACCACCCTCATTTTAAAGAACTTCTTCCTAATGTCTAATATAAATCTACCGTGCTCTGGTTTAAAACCATTGGCCCTCATCCTGTTGCTATATGCCTTGTAGAAAGTCCCTCCCCAGCTTGCTTTCCCCTCTATGCCCCGGCCCTTCCCGGTAGGGCAGGAGCAACGCCTCCCCCGGCCCACTGGGGCGAGGGCGGCTCCCGGAGCCCTCCAGGGAAGAGGCAAGGCGGGGTGCGGGGGGAGGCGGTGAATCGGGTCTCACCTGAGCCCCGGGCGGCTTCTTCAGGACGATGGTGCGGGGCAGGAACTGCGTGAGCTCG